TTTAACAGTCTCACCAGGGGAGAATGAATTGATGAAGTGACGACGTGTGTGAGCTTGCTGAGCCTCCCGTACACACAGGTCATGTCTCACGCTGTACTGCACACGGACGTCTAACTCAGCCACCAACGAGAGAAGAAACAGGACTGCTTCCTGTGCGAGGAACTCGCCCAGCTCACCTCAGACTGTTCATTTTGTGTCTTAAGTTTGGGTTATGCTTACACTTGCTTCCTATTTTTTAAATTAATTTTTCAAGACATTTATTTATTTGAAAGGCAGAGTCAGAGAGAGAGAGAGAGAACAGATCTTCCATCCCCTGGTTCATTCCCCAAATGGCCACAACAGCCACACAGGGGCCAGGCTGTAGCCAGGAGTCAGTGGGTGCAGGGGCCAAGGACTTGGGCCATCCTCCACTGCTTTCCCAGGCGCCTTAGCAGGGAGCAGGATCAGAAATGGAGCAGCCAGGGCTCAAACCAGCGCCCATACGGGATGTCGGCACTGCAGGCAGCGTCTTAACCGGCTACGCCACAGCGCCAGCCCCTTATGCTTATCTTTGAGCCAGTGCCACACTCACGAGGTTCCAAATTCCAAAAAGGGCACACACAGAGGCTCCCTCCTGCCCTGTCCTCAGCCTCCTGTGTCCACAGTCTCTGTGTCTTCCCAGATGTCTGGGTAGCCGGGCAAGCACGCCCGTGTGAGTTCCCACCCCTCGCACTTCTCACTTCGTGGCACAAGGTGGAGAGGGGTCCTCTCGGTAGCAGTAGGAATCTTCCCTCCCTTTTTTCGCGGCCGAGCACTTTGCCTGGGGCTGGGCCGGCTCGTAGGGGAGCATTGTTCCCGGTTCCAGGTTCCAGGTCACCTGCGCGCCACAAGCACAGGGGGTGTTGGTTGGGCATTGGCCAGGGCCGTGAGGTCAGCTGGGCTTGTTAAGTTCCCCAAATCTCCCTCTTGGAGGTGTGAAGTTCTCGGCTTCATGGTCAAGGTCAGCTGTTTCCATTTCTCTCGGAGGCAGAGGATTGCCTAGTAAGACCCTTCTGCGGGCCGGCGCCGTGGCTCACTAAGCTAATCTTCCGCCTGTGGCGCCGGCACACCAGGTTCTAGTCCCGGTCGGGGCGCTGGATTCTGTCCCGGTTGCCCCTCTTCCAGGCCAGCTCTCTGCTGTGGCCAGGGAAGGCAGTGGAGGATGGCCCAAGTGCTTGGGCCCTGCACCCCATGGGAGACCAGGAGAAGCACCTGGCTCCAGCCTTCGGATCAGCGTGGTGCGCCGGCCGCAGTGGCCATTGGAGGGTGAACCAACGGCAAAGGAAGACCTTTCTCTCTCTCTCTCCCTCCCTGTCTACTCTGCCTGTCAAAAAATTAAAACAAACAAACAAACAAAAAAAAACCTTCAGCGAATGGAAGCGGTGAAACTCAGCAGGAGGCTCTCAGCAGCTGTCTGCTCCAGGGACGCGTGTGTGGAAGGTCTCCCCCCCCCCCCCCACAGAGCCAGGGGGGCTGGGTCTGTCTGGGCAGGGGTCTCCTCCCCCGGGCAGCCCTGCCTGTGCCAGGGCTGTGAGCACAGCGGGAGGACGGAACTCCCAGCTCAGCCCCTGGCCCAGCAGGGCACAGAAGGGACATGGAGAGACCCAGAGTGGGCCCCGCTCCCCGCCCTGGGGGCCTCCTGTTCACCACTGAGACAGCCTGGGATGCAGCAGCGGCTCAACAAATACTCGTGGAAAGAATGACCTCCCCCACCCCAAGCCAGTAACACCCAGGGGCTCCAGGGGGCTCTCCGGCTGAACCGAGGGGCTTGTGTTCATGAGAGAGAACTCCCCTCTAGATGCCCACGATGGCCAGGACGGGGCGGGGGCCGACGCCGGGAGCCAGGAGCACGTCCAGGTCTCCTACATGGGCGGCAGGGACCCACGCACGTGAGCCGTCACCGGAGCCCTCCCAGGGCTGCAGCAGTGGGGAGCTGAGAATCGAACCCCGGCTCTCGGATGTGGGACGTGGGTGTCCCAGCCGCGAGGCCGAACACCCGCCCTCTTAGGGCAGCTGTCTTCCCTCTCCACCCGTCCCCACGGCTGTGGGCAGCTGGTGAAGTCTGCTCGCCGCTCTTGGGTCTGGGATCCCCAGACCGGCCGCAGATGGCCCCACACAGGTCCTTGTTAGGGCAAGGTGGGGGAGGTTTGACCCACGGAGAAGGTGCCACCAGCAGGGAGGCAGAGGCTGGAGGAATAGCCGGGCAGGCCAGGAGTGGGCTCCCCCCAGCCCCTGGAGGGGGCATGGCCCCGCCGCCCCCTGAACCTCCCGGAAGTCAGGAAACACACCGGGGACTTCAAAGTGTTCATGGAGAGAGGCATTCAGAAGGTAAGTCTATTTAGCTGCAAAAAAGTTTTGAAATTCATGCATAGTTTTTTATGTGTTTCTTTTTAAAGATTTATTTATTTATTTGAAAGGCAGAGTTAGGAGGGTGGACTCCATCTGCTGCCTCACTCCCCAAACGGCTGCAATGGCCAAGGCTGGGCCAGGCCGAAGCCAGAAGCCTGGAGCTCCTTCTGGGTCCCCCAGGTGCGTGCAGGGTCCAAGCACTTGGGCCATCTTCTGCTGCTTTCTCAGGCCATCAGCAGGGAGCCGGATCAGAAGTGGAGCAGCTGCTGGCACTCATAGTGTAGGCCAGGCGGCTTAGCCGCTGCACCGCGGAGCAGGCCCCTTTGCGGCCACACTAAGAGGCGTCAGGTGCGCCCGGCTGCGGCTTCCGGCTGTTTCCCTGATGAGTAGTGATGTCGAGCAACTTCTCGTAGGAACTGTTGGTCGTTGGTAAATCACCTTTGGAAAAATGTCTGTTTAGGCCCTCTGCCCATTTTTAATTTTTTTTTTTTGACAGGCAGAGTTAGGCAGAGAGAGAGAGAGAGAGAGAGACAGAGAGAAAGGTCTTCCTTCCGTTGGTTCACCCCCGAAATGGCCATCACGGCTGGCGCTGTGCCAATCCAAAGCCAGGAGCCAGGTGCTTCCTCCTGGTCTCCCACGGGGTGCAGGGCCCAAGCACTTGGCCATCCTCCACTGCACTCCCGGGCCACAGCAGAGAGCTGGCCTGGAAGAGGAGCAGCCGGGACTAGAACTGACGCCCATATGGGATGCAGGCAGAGGATTGATTAATCAAGTGAGCCACAGCGCCGGCCCCTAATTGGGTTATTGCGTTGTGAACGGGTCACAGGAGTTCTTCCTCTGTTCTCTGAAGCCCTTGCCAGATGTGTGACTCGCAGAAGCTTCTCCCTGTCCCACGGGGACCACCGAGCTCTGTCGATCGTGTCCTGCACGTGGAAGCCGGATGTGTGGAGTCCCATTTGCCCCTTCTGCTTTTGGTGCCTGTGCGTCGAGTGTCAGAGCCCAGGGATCCTTGCCAAGTCCAATGTCAAGAAGCTTCTTTAATTTTGTAAAGATTTATGTATTTATTCGAAAGAGTTACAGAGAAGGAGAGGCACAGAGAGAGAGAGAGAGAGAGAGAGAGAGTCTTCCGTCCGCTGGTTCACTCCCCAAATGGCTGCAGTAGCCAGGGCTGGGCCAGGCTGAAGCCAAGAACCAGGGTCTTCTCCCAGGTCTCCCACGCGAGTGCTGGGGCCCGAGCACTGGGGCCAGTCTCTGCCGCCTTCCCAGGTGCTTTAGCAGGGAGCTGGATGGGAAGTGGAGCAGCCGGGACTTGATCCAGCGCCCATGTGGGATGCCGGTGCTGCAGGTGGCGGCTTTACCTGCTGCACCATAGCACCAGGCTTGTGAAGCCCCTGTGTGCTTTCTTCTAGGAGTTTGATGGTTTTGGGTCTCTGATCCATTTTTGTCAGTTTCATGCATGGTACAAGGTGAAGGTTCAAGTTCATTCTTCATCGCGTGGGTGTCCGGTTTCTCCGCGCTGTCTGCTGACAGACTGCCCTCTGCTGGCGCCCTCGCTGGCCACTCCGACCACATCCTGGGGGTTGTTTCTCGGCTCTATTCTACCCCACAGGTGCGTTTGTCTCTGTGTCAGTTCCACGCTATTTTGCTGACTGTGGCGTTGTGTGAGGACAGGGTGGTTTGTTCCCATCTTTCCCAGAAGCATCCGTGCTGCGGGACCGACATGGGCACCGCCTTGTCTCTGGGTGTTCTCTGAGCGTCTCTGACTGCGGGGCCCCGGGCTGCTCTCGGGCCCCGAGCCCGAGTTCTGTTTGCCGCACTGGGACCTTCGGGACAATGACAAAAGGGACACCGAGAAGGCAACTCGCAGGCTGAGCGTCTGCGCTTGGGACCACAGGTGTTTCCAATCTGGTTTTTTTTTTTTTTTTTTTTTTTTTTTTTTAGAGTTTGGAATATTGGTGTGGACTTGATTGTCGAGTATCCCTAATGTGAAAATCCCAGATCTGAAACATTTTGAGTGTTTTCTTGGCAACTCAGAAAGCTTCAGGTGTTGTAATACCTGCAGTTTTGGACTTTCTGGTGGGTGGAGTTCAACAAACACACAGCAGCCTGTGGCCCCCCGCGGGCGCCAGGCCCTGCTTTGGGGGGCTCACGGCGCGGGGGCTCACAGAGCTGGGGCTCACGAAGCCGGGGCTCATGGACCAGACAAGGCCCATTTTGGGATGCTTTCTGCTGGCAGAGTGGAGCCCATAGGGAGCGGGGCAGAGAATGTCTGACGTCGACCCCTCCGTGCCCTGGCGCTGGCCGTGGGCTATGCTTTTCTCAAAGGAGCTCCTGACTGGGAGAAGGTTCCCAGGCCGCATCTCTGGCCTCGGGGCTTTGCCACCGCCGCCTCCCGCCCCCCCAGGTACGCTGAGCGACCTGAGGCCCAGGCACCTGCCCGCCAGTCTGCTGCCTGTGGTTTATCTTTATTCTGACAAATACAGAACAGCGCATCGTGCTGACACAGCCACATTAACGCGGGCGAAGCCTCGGTGGGGCTGTCGGGGAAAGGATTTCAAAGACGGGTTCTGGGCCCCTCTTCCCTTCCTGAAAGTGTCCGTAGGGAGCTCAGAACCAACCAGGACCACGTTCAATATTTTTAAAATATTTTATTTATTTATTTCAAAGGCACAATTACATACAGTGAAAGACAGAGACAGGGAGAGGTCTTCCATCCGCTGGTTCACTCCCCAGATGGCCGCAATGGCCGGAGCTGCGCCGATCCGAAGCCAGGAGCCAGGAGCTTCTTCCGGGTCTCCCATGCGGGTGCAGGGGCCCTAGGACTTGGGCCATCTTCTACTGTTTCCCCAGGCCACAGCAGAGAGCTGGATCGGAAGTAGAGCAGCTGGGTCTCGAACCGCTGTCCATATGGGATGCTGGTGCCACAGGCAGAGGCTTAGCCTAGTACACCACAGTGCTAGACCCCCTTATGCAAGATTTAAAAAAATATATTTTAAAAATGTTATTTGAGAGAAAGAAGATGCACCCATCTGCTGGCTTATGCCCTAAATGCAACAGCACTGAACCCAGCTGGGGCTGAAACCAGGAGCCGGGAGCTCCATCCGGGTCTCCCACGTGGGTAGCTTCAGCCGTCACCAGCGCCTCCCAGGGGCTGCAGGCAGGACGTGGACCAGCAGCGGAGCCCACGTACTCTGATGTGGGACTCAGCCACCTTCACTGCTAGGTCCAATGCCAGCCCCTCACGAGAGACTCTATCCACCGGCGCTAGGCCTGGGAGCGAAAGGCACACTCGGTAACGCTGGCTCCGAGACCCTGGCAATTCTGCGGTGCCGAGCGAGCTCATGGTGAGTGACAAGAGCGACGGGTGGCCGTGGCGCACACAGGGACGGACAGCTTCCCTGCAGCTCCTCCAAGCACAGCTGAGTCTGCGACGCGGGGACCCTCGTGGGAACCTGGGGGGGGGGGCTCGGGGCTGGAGCCAGGAGAAGGGAAGTGAGCCGCCCCGGGGGGCTCCAGCTGCGCCACGCCGCAGGGCGCCGGCCACCTCGGGCGGCAGGGGCAGGAGGGCGCCTGGCGAGCCCCGCGTTCAGGGCTCCATGCGCCACCACTTGAAGGCGAAGGGCTTCCGGCGCACGTTGGTGCCGCAGTGCACCTCGCCGTGCCGGACGTGGTAGGAGTAGAAGTCGTCGATGAAGGTGCAGCGCAGGCCCAGCGGCTCCAGCAGGGACCGCACCTTCTCCTCCAGGCAGCAGCGGCCGTTGATGATGGGGCCGAAGGGCTTGGGGATGCCCAGGTGCTTGCCCAGCACCAGCAGGTTCACCTGCGGCGGGAGGGAGGCCGCAGCCTGGGGTGTGGTCCGCGCATCCCCCACCCACCCCCCCCCCCGACCTGTGTGGATGGGGAAACTGAGTCTTGCATGGGAAAAGGGCCAGCCCGCTGTTCTAGGACTGGTGCCACGTCTCTCCCCCACTGACCACCTTCTGGTCAAGCCCAACTCAGATGCCAGCCCCGCTGCGAAGCTGCCATGCATCCCCCAACTCTGGTTTCCATGGCAACAGTAAACAAGAGCCGGCGTGCCCAGGGACACAGTCAGTGCAGGGTCGCCCTCCTGAGTCCTTAGGGCGTCTCGTTCTCCGTGGCGGCTCAGCACCCGGGAGCCAGCGGGCCTTGGCTCAGGCTCCCTGCAGGGACCTTGCCGGCAGCTCAGAGCCAGCCCTCAGCCTGGCCCGTGGGTCATTCCAGGAGCCCTCCCCTAGCTGTCGGCACCCACTTCCGTTCCTGCACCAGAAGCCTGGCTCGGCCAAGCCAGAGGGGACCAAGATGCCTGGGGCCGAGGGAGTTCAAAGGGTGGGGGAGGGGCTTTCCTCTTCTTTTAGCCCAGGGACCCTTTATTTATTTATTTATTTGTTTGTTTTATTCCGGCCGAAAGCATTTATTAGACTGAAGGTTTCCTAAGACCTCTTGGAAAACCCGGTAATGTTTGCATGAATCACACACATGTATAGATCCATGCTGTAGGCGATATGCGGCCGGCACTAGGCTCAGGCCATCCCAGCCCAGGCAGGAGAGGGCCACGGGACCCCCATCCTATACAAGACCCTCTGCAGGGCCTCCATGCATGGAACACAGACAACCTGAGCCCCGGATTTGAGGCACCGCCTAGGCACCCCGGAGCCCTGGGGAACCCAGTCTGCAAACCGCCACATTAAGGGCTGCTGGCTGGTCCGGGGCTGCAAGCCCAGTGCTGGGGGAGGCGGCGGCCGAAGGGCCCTTGGGTGTTCTCAGAGGAGATGGGAGAGGGATGGGGGCTGTGACCGGGCTGGGCACTGGGGGTGGGGGGGTGTGACCCTCACATCCGTGCTCCTGCAGCTGGGGTCCCACCCAGCCGGGGAAGGGGTGGTACCACCTTCTCCTTGCAGAGGTCCCCCGGGGCCACCCAGCCGAGGGCCCCCACCTGCATGCCCTTCCTCGCACCTGTCACGGCCGAGGGTGATTCCAGCCCCCCACGAGAGGCAGCCACCCCGGCCCGGAAGCTCTGAACCCCGTCCCCGCCGGCCCAGGGTTCTTGTGCCAGAACCACCCCTGAGCAGTGCGTGACCGGGAGACCCCCGGCATCTAGGGCGCCCCCCTCACCATGTTGGGGAAGAAGGCGGCAGCCTTGAGGCGCTCCCTGCTGCCCCCCACGAGCCTGAAGAGCTGCGGGATGTCCACGATGTCGCCCTCGGCCAGGCCCAGCTCCCGCCTCAGCACCTCGCGGTTCCAGTCGATGCACTTCTGGGGGCGGGAGGGGCGGTGGGTAGGGGGCTGCAGGGGGGCGGGGGGCGAGGCCCTGGGCCGAGGGTGGTGGAGGGCCGGGGTCAGGAAGGCAGTGGCAGTAGCTGCGGGGCTCCCAGGGACTGAGCCGTGTCCCTGTAGGCCTCCTCCCCTCCCTCCGCCCCCCTGCTTCTGCGCCTCTGTCTCCCCCGGGCCACGGTGACCCCCGGGCTCGCTGCGGTACCTCCACGTAGGCATTGTGCTCCCTCAGTTTCTTGTTGGACAAAATCTCCTTTATTTGCTGCTGTTTTTTTCCTGTTGGAGAAAAAGAAAAAAAGCCAAAGCCAGTGACCTCAGAGGGCTGTTCCCGGTCCCAGCAGGTGCAGCGGGGCCTCAGTGTCCCCGTCCAGAACATGGGGGCAGGGCGGGCATCTGGTTCAGGATGCCGGCCTCCCCGAGCGCGGTGCCTGGGTGTGGGCGCAGCTCCGCTTCCGCGCCTGGGGAGGCAGCAGGTGGCGCACGAGTTCTCTGGACAGAATCCCCGCTCCCAGCTTCAGCCTTGGCCCAGCCCTGGCTGTCCGGGGCTCTAGGGGAGTGAACCAGCAGATGGAAGATCCCTGTCTGTCTTCCTTGCAGATTAAGCAGAGTTATGGAGAGAATGGACATAGCACGAAAACACCATTTTTTAAAAGGCAGTGGTAGCCATCCCTAACATCCAGGTGACGCCTAGCACCCGCGGGGCAGATGCCATTAATGGCGCATTTTAGCGGTGTGATTGCTCATTGACAATGTTTCTCTCGGGCTGGACAACAGGCATGGGCATAGAGGTACACGCAGAATTTACTGCTAATGTGCTGCACCGTGGTAGGGTAAGACAGTCTATGATGATTTTTCAAAATATTTTAAACGGACTTAATTGGGAAAATCAACCTAATCACTGTCCAGCCCTCCGGGTGGCCCCAGGGTCCTTAGACCCAGGGGCTTCTGTCGCCTCCCCAAACTACTCCACCTGCTGGCCGGTGACAGCTCGGCCTTCAGGCCCCTGCTTGGGGCTCACTTCCTCCAGGACCCCCACCCCTGGGGCCCGTGTCCTGGTTGCTTTGTTGCCTGGCTGGGAGCGACACTGCCCGCGTGCTCAGCCCACATCCGTTGCCCGGAGGCTGCTGCCTGGCGGCAGGAGGCAGAGGAGGGGGCGGACAGAAGCAGGCGGCCTGGCCACTCACTCTTGAGGCCCTGGAAGAGCAGCGCCTCCCCGTGGCCCTCCCGCTGCAGCTCCTGGAAAAGTCTGTAGCAGGCCCGGGGGCTGGCCAGGAGCAGCCGGAAGCCCTGCAGGCAGAAACGCAAGGGTCAGAGGTCAGCTTTGCCACTGGGGCTCCCAGGGAGGGGCAGCACCTCCCCCATCCCCTCTGCTGAGTCAGGCACGCCCCCTCCCCAGGGAGAGCACGGAGCTGTGCAGGGGGACCCAGCGAGGAGGCGTGGCTGGCGCGTGGCACCTTCCTGTCCAGCGCGGGGACAAAGCTCAGGAACTCGTCCACGTGGCCCACGGCCAGCCAGTCTGAATAGAGCTTCACAGGGGCCTGCACCTGCTGGGCGCACAGGAAGTCCCACAGGGCCCGGTGCATCTCCCGGCTCTCGTCGCTGCGGGGGCAGGGGAAGGCGTGTTACTGGGGAGAGTGCCCTCCACCTCCCGTCAGCTCCCTGCTGTGGCCTGGGAAGGCAGCGGAGGACGGCCCACGTGCTCGGGCCCCTGCACCCACATGGGAGACCCAGATGGAGCTCCTGGCTCCTGGCTTCAGCCTGACCCAGTCCTGGCTGTTGCAGCCATGTGGGGAGTGAACCAGCAGGTGGAAGACCTCTCTCTGTCTTCTCTCTAACTCTGTCTTTCAAATAAACAAATACATCTTAAAAAAAGAAACTGTCAGCCGGCGCCGTGGCTCAATAGGCTAATCCTCCACCTTGCGGCGCCGGCATACCGGGTTCTAGTCCCGGTCGGGGCGCCGGATTCTGTCCCGGTTGCCCCTCTTCCAGGCCAGCTCTCTGCTATGGCCAGGGAGTGCAGTGAAGGATGGCCCAGGTGCTTGGGCCCTGCACCCCATGGGAGACCAGGAAAAGCACCTGGATCCTGGCTCCTGCCATCGGATCAGCGTGGTGCGCCGGCTGCAGCGGCGGCCATTGGAGGGTGAACCAACGGCAAAGGAAGACCTTTCTCTCTCTGTCTCTCTCTCTCACTGTCCACTCGCCTATC